GCCGATGCTCTAACCGCTGAGCCAAACTGGCCAGGGCTATTTTATTTTTTAAAAAATTATTTTCCTTTGTTGATTTTTTAGACAGATAGGAAGTGAGAGGGAGAGAGAGATAGAAACATTGATGAGAGAGAACATCGACTGGCCGCCTCCTGCATTGCCCCCGCTGGGGATCAGGCCCACAACCTGGGCATATGCCCTGACAGGGAATTGAACCAGTGACCTCTTGGTGTATGGGTCGACGTTCAACTGCTGAGCCACACTGGCTGGGCTGCTTATTCAGTTCTTAACCTCATTACCTCCTATTGTCTCGGATCCTTAATAACTGTGCCTCTGCTTTCCTAGACATAACTTTAACCTGCAGACGTCTTTATCCAGGCTGAACCTAACTAGGTTTTAGCTCTACCAGTTTGAACTGAGCAGTCAATTCAACCAAACAATTCAATTGACATTCTCCAAATCAGTCACGCTAGTTCTTCAATTTAGTGAATTTTTTGTGTGTGTGTGATTAATGAGCAAATTTTTGACTGCACTAGATGATCAAGTTAAAACAGAAAATTGGTCATGTTTCCAATAGCATCGTTTTTTGGGTTTTTTTTTTAGCCTTTTATTCCCCTGCAAGAATACTGATTCAGTTAACTAGGTATAGGGAATAAACATTTAAAAACCTTTTTTTTTTTTCTTTTTAAATCCTCACCCGAGGACATTTTTGCATTTATCTTCAGATAGAACCAGAGGAAGAGAAAGAGAAACATCCATATAAGAGAGATACATTGAGTGGTCGCCACCCACACGACCCCAACCGGGGCGAGGGACAGACTGCAACTGAGCTACGTGGCCTTAGCAGGAACCGAACCCGAGACTCTCTGGTACCTGGGCTGCTGCTCTAACTGCTGAGCCAAACCGGCCAGGGCTACATTTATTTTTTTAATGTTTTTATTGATTATCTAAAGCAGCGGTTCTCAACCTGTAGGTCCCGACCCCTTTGGGAGTTGAATGACCCTTTCACAGGGGTTGCCTAAGACACAACAGTAGCAAAATTACAGTTATGAAGTAGCAATGAAAATAATTTTATGGTTGGGGGTCACCACAACATGAGGAACTGTATTAAAGGGTCTTGGCATTAGGAAGGTTGAGAACCACTGAAAGAGAGGAAGGAAGAGAGAGATAGAAACATCAATGTGAGAGAGAAACACTGATTGGCCACCTCCTGCACACCCCCTACTAGGGATTGAGCCCACAACCCAGGCATGTGCCCTGATCAGTAATGGAACCGGGACCTCTCAGTCCATGGGATGACGCTCAATCCACTGAGCCACACCAGCCAGGCTGATTTTTACATTTACTTAAATTTGAATTTTCAGACTGTAGCTGTGGCTTTAAGGAATGAGAAAGAGCAGACAAATGGGAGAAATTCCAAAAAGAAAAGAGAAAATAGGTGTATGAGAGAAAGTAAATATTTAGGGTATGACGTTGAGATAGGCTGTTAGACTCTTCCATTTAAGACTCTTCCCTTTGACCTTCCCTGATCTCTAAAAGAAAGCTTAGATGTGTGTGATTCCTGGAAGCTCAAATAACATTTTGGCCTTTCAGTTTTGTTTTGGTGAAAGAAATGAAGATGTGAAATACAGACTGTGGTGGGGACCACAGGTTCAATATGTTTGAAAATCTCTCATGTACATCTAACCCTACTTATTCTGAAATGTCCGAATTCTGATCCTACTCTGTTATCAAACAAATAATTTGCTCTCCTGTTAACATCTGAGAGCCAAAAATGTGTGAAAGTTCAAATATGGTCAGGAATTTTTTTAAAATGAATCAATGTGGTAAGTTTGGTGGCTTTCTTTTAACTGCCTGCTAGAGTCTCAGAAATCCTTATCTGTATCATTCCATTAATGCCTTTCACAGTGTTTAGAAGCACAGCACGCTCACCTAGTTTGCCTGCATGCCTGTCTGTGTCTTTTCCTCTTCCAAGAAATTCAGAAATACTGATTTATCTGCATCCCTGTCCTAAAGCAAGCCAGTTTAATCAGTAATTATCAAGTTCACTATCTCCATAAGCAGGCCTCATATGAAACACCAGAATCTGATTTCTAAACAGAGTATAGGAAAATTTATTTCCAGAGTAAATGTGGTAAAACTATAAACACAGAAATGGACAACTGAAGTAGTGTAAAATAAGGCTACAGGGGGAAAAGACAGAACTGATATTTCAGAACACTGAAAGATTGGGGAAAGGGATGAAAAAAAGAGAGAGTTGGAATAGCAGACTGCTTTCGAAATTGATAGAGAGCATGGTGGTTTACAAAATTAATTTGGTGGTTTTCAACCAGCATTTCAAAAAAAATGCTATGCAATGAAAAAGGGGTGGGGGAGAATTTTAAAAAGAAAAGAAAAACAGGAGAAGAAGAACAAGAGGGGAAAACGGGGGGAAATAATTTTAAAAATGAAATGCTATGCAATAGAATAGAACAATATAGAATGCATAATATGGAAGGATAAATATTGTTTTGGAAACATTTTTCAATATATGTAAATGAAGGGGTTCAGAACAGTCTTCCCCAAAGTGTGCCACTTTGGCATGTGAATTACTTTTATTTATTTTTATTTTTTAATTTTATTTACTTATTTTTATTTCAATATAGTTGGTATATAATATTATATTAGTTTCAGGTGTGGAATATACTGATTTGACATTTATATACCCTACAATGTGATCACCACACTAAGTCTAGTAATCATCTATCACTGTGCAAATTTATCACATTATTATTGACTACATTCCTCTTCAACTTTTTCACCCACTCCTTCACTCCCCTATCACTCTTCCCTCTGGCAACCATCAATATGATCTCTGTTTCTGAGTTTGATTTCATTTTGTTTTGTTTAAATATGTTTTTATTGATTTTTTTAGAGAGAGGGGAAGGGAGAGAGAGAAACATCGATGTAAGAGAGAAACATCCATTGGCTGCCTCCAGCGCACTCCTTGGGGATTGAGCCGAAACTTGGACATGTGCCCTGACCAGGAATTGAACCAGGACCTCTCAGTCCATAGGACAATGCTCTATCCACTGAACCATACCAGCCAAGCTCATTTTGTTTTGATAGTTCATGTGTTTATTTGTTTTTTAGATTCTACATATGTAAGTGAACCCATATGGTATTTGTTTTTCTCTGACATGTGAATTATTTTTGGTTGAAGGCAATTATCTCTCTCTTAAATAATTCAAAGTGGGGGTCTTGCCCATTATCAGTTAGCAGAAATAACCTTTTATGACCTGTCTATAAGGCAGAGCAAACTTTGCCCTCCTTTTGAAGCCTCAGGCACCTTATCTCATTCTAGCTCAGGATACCGTATATATGTCATTTCCCCATTCCATCTCTGACCCTTTCCTGTATGTAGGTCTCTGACTCACGCATGTATGTGAGGTTCCTATTAATATGGATGTAATTAAATTTGGTTATTTTCTTGTTAATCTGTTGCATATGGATTTAATTATTAGACTAGCTGAAAGAACTTAGAAGGGTAGAGAAAAGTTTTTTCCTCAACCACATAAACATAGGGTGTCCCCTCAAAATGTATAAACAATTTGAATAACTACAAAGTCAATGTGGATTAACAACAGTTCATTTTCAAAATTTAAAAGAATCTACAGAAATGAATAATTTTTTAAAAATCAATGCCTGCTTTCAACCTGTTGGGCTGGTCCAGACGGTCCTGATAACGCAAAGCAATGGAATAACAAACATCAAGAATCATTTTCTTCTGTGTTTGTGTGCATTCTCATTTCAATAGCTCCCTCAATTTGTTGACTGTTACCGATTTTGTACTGCAAACTTTATCCTTTATGTATCTCCATAAAAAAAGTCTAGTGGATAAATTTTCTTTGTTTGAAGCTTAGTCTGGCTTCACCCATGATTTCAAATCAGTTAAACTTGAAAAGGAGTGAGAATTGATTGAGTTATCAGCTGTTAAAGTGTGTATAAAGTTTTTTGGGTTTTTTTTTTTTTTTTGCCACACTATATATACAAAATGCATTGTATATATGTAACTGTAATATATGCTCTTAATAAATGAATGTGGACGCACATGCCTGGGGCTGTTTTGTAAACTATTTCCCACAGTGGGTCTTGGTCCAAAGTTTGAAAGCCCCTGAAACACAGGATCAGAATGGATCCTGACAAGGTAAATTCAAGGTCAAATGAGAAAGCCCCTTTTCTCTTCCTTGGCTGCCCAGAGCAGTAAAGGGAGAGAGAGGAAGTGGTGTGCGAGGGAGGGGGCACCAGAGTGAGGTCAAGCCAGAAGGAAGGGCAACTGGACAGGGAGGTGCTTTGTGCCAGGATAGTCACTTGAGGGACATGGGGAGGTTAATTTTGAGCCTTTAAATGCTACATCGAAAGAACTTCCGCGTTCCTTATCCGTGAAAAGTCTACAAGATGAGGGATTTGCGTTTCTTCTTTAGGTGACACTACTTGGGGGATCAGTTCCTTAGAGGGGATTATTATTACTAGCCAGGGCAAGGAGCGGGGAAGGTGGGCGGGGCATAGGGAGCGCGGGAAGGCTGGGCCGGGTCTGTCCAAAGAGCGATTTAGGTCGTACTGTACGCAGTCCATCAGAGGAACAAGCAGTTCTGCACTTTGGGACCCATCCGCAGGCAGTGAACCCAGGGCGCCCAGGACGCGGATGGGGTTGTGCCCTTGCCGCGGGCCATTGGCCCTCCTTGCCAATGGGCAGCACCAGCCTCCGCCCCCGGCCCCGCTTCAGGTTGGCTCCGCTGCCCGGTCGCCAGGCCCCACGTGACCTACCGCGCGGGCCACCGCCCCCGCCGCGCCCAGGCCCCGCCCCGTGACGTCACATAGCCTCGGCTTGTCCAGACGTTCAGTGTCTTTCTGCGTTTGCCAATTGGCCGGCCTGGAGGACAGCGCCCCTCCCGCCACGCCTCTGGAGTCCTGGGGAACGCGGTTGGGGGCGGGCTTGCGCCTGAGGGGCGGAGTGAGAAGGCTCCGCGCGGGTAAAGGGGCTGCCTGGAGCACAGTCCGATCGTTTTGCGGTCACTCGCCGGCTAGCCCTCCACACTGGGTGTCTGCGCCTCCCCCGCTGGCTGCCGTCACCCAGGAAACCGGCCGCGATCTCCCGCCGACCCGAAACTGGTTTCATGGCAGCCACGAAGAAAGCAGTTTTGGGGCCGTTGGTGGGGGCAGTGGACCAGGGCACCAGCTCGACGCGCTTTTTGGTGAGCCCAGGGTGACATTTGAAGAGCTAAGCCGGGCGGGAGCCCCGGGATGCCGGCGCTGGTTGTCGCGTCTCCATCCCGCGCCTCCCCCGGCCCCGCGGCTCCCAGCCTTTAGGCAAGGGACGGAGGCCAAGGCCCCCAGAGCAGAACCTGCCACGCTGGAGCTGTCCCGCCTGGGTTTGGGGGACTGCAGCCTCTCGAGACCCTGGCGGCCGAGCTGAGCAGCCCCGGCCTCGTGGTGGAGCCGGATCATCTACTAACGGGGTGATTCCTCCTCCGAAAGGAGCTAGGAATCGCCGAGCATCCGTGCGGAGCGGTCCGCCTGCAGCCAGGACAGGTGGTCATACTGACCGCTGCTGCGATCTTTCCCCTGGAGCATTTGGCCTACGGGGCGCAGGACGTCCTTGGAAGGGGGGGAAAGCTGTGTCACGGCTGTGATAGCTTAACACAACGTCCTTTGGAGCAGTAGAACAAATATAGTATTCGCATGATGATGCGTTGTCATCCTCTCCCACAGAAATTGTAGAAGGTAGAATGCTACGGGGGTGGGGGTGGGGGGTGTCGCAGAACACATTAGGAAAAAGACAGTACTCTGCCTTTACCAGAATCTTTACTTAATTTCAAAGACTCGCAAATTTCAGTTCTGATACTTTGCCTATTTACAAACACTTCATGCTTCACAGAGTAAAGTGACAGGGAAATTCTGTTTCACTTTTTATTTACTGTAGCAGTGCTATTTAAGTGACTTTATGCTAGGAATCTTGCTGTTAAAGTGATCTAGCACTGAGTTCAGTAAGATAACTTAAAAATAATTTAAATAAACGATTGTTGGTTAAGAGCCCATGCTTCAATGGACATTTGACTAACCTGGCAAGTTTATGGAAATATATAATGATTATTTACCTCCATCTTCACTACTTTCCTTCAGATAATTTTTTCGTGCATTATTATGTATATGTGTGTGAGTATATACTATATGTATACATTATACATATAGTGTGTATGTTGTTCCAAACTTCTGTTTAGCCCACTATTTGACTAAAACCTTCATTTGTGTCTTCATTTTGATAGTCCTCTCTCTTGCCTACACTGGAAAGCTTTTGGCACAGTTTTAGTTTGAATCTTATTTCATGGCTTACCTAGTTTGAGCTGCCAAGACATAGTTCTACAATCTCTTACATTGTTTATCTTTTGATCACCCGGGACAGGTTTCACTTTGTCTTATTCTCATAAATGTTTATAAAGTAATTCTGAATCATAAGGAAGTCTGCCTAACTGGATTTGATTAATATATAAAATATACAGTCATCATTGTGTATTTAAAATGAAGAAAGGCCATTAAGACACACATGCTAACTTGTGGATTGAGTTTTGAAGCAATATTCAAGAACTGCCCGCACAGAGACCAGCACAGATGCCTGCAAGGGCCAGGCAGGTAGAGGTTGGGGGAAAGACTGGAGAGAGCAACCCAGGTCAAGAGGACTGGCTATAGTTGCCAAGCAGGAACACCAGCCCAGTGTCGCCAGATCATCAAATTCTTTAAGAAAAGGTGGTCATCTCGAGTTTTCAGTGTAATCTTCCAATTCTTGAATGTCGGCAACTAGTTCATAAAGCACCGTGGAGACCAAATCAACATGGTGATTGTTTTCAAATTTATGCAGCCATTGCCTTCTATGAAAGTCAATAAAATATTTCATAACTTGGTGGGCTTTTTAGGAGACTGACTGTGCTTATCTTTCTTTAGAATCTTCACTCTTACTCTCCATGTAGCCCAGTGATCTTCTTTATCCACTGCAGGTTGTTCCTGGTCCCTCAGATTTTGTTGCCCAAGAGACATCTTTCTGTACTGGTGGGGAAGGAATAAGTCAACTTCATATTCTCACAATCCATTGTTCAGTATGTGACCTGAACAACCTGAGCCTTTGAAAGTTAGTTTCTGTTTATTGGACTCTGTATTCAGTGAGTAAGCTAAGGTGCAAATTCAGGAGATACGCATCCTGCTTATAGGATGATGTGTAAAAGTCAATCAATAACAGTTTTCCGATTCTTGAGAAACAACTAGAATCAGAGGTAGATAAAGGATTTAGATATCCTGTGCAAAGTCAAGAAAAACTTAGGAATGGTTTAGCAAAGTCTTTTTTCCTTTGGTTATAGGGAAAGAGCTTGTTAAACCACTCCCTGCAAAATGCAGATAATAGAGTTGCTGAATAAGTGCTTCAATCACAAGGTGATTCCCAGGAGTTGTTCCAGTCATATTGTTCCACGTTGTAATTATGACTCAAAAATAATTTCTTACTTTATCACTAAGATTACAGTGGATAAGAACTGTCATAAGGAAGCTTGTAAAGGAAAAGGTGTTTAAATAATTTCTTGGACATTAGTCATTGAATTTGCATATCCAGTTCAACTTTCACAAGACCAATAACCTCTCCAAGCTTCTCCCCCTTTCTCTGCTAGTGATGTTAACTCATGGTCTTTCGTGCAATGGAAATGCCTCCTCCCTATTTCCCTTACCATCTTTTTTTTTTCTTTATTGGTTTTTAGAGAGAGAGGAAGGGAGAGGGGGAGAGAGAGAGATAGAAACATCGATGAGAGATGTGGGGATTGGGCCCACAACCTGGGCATGTGCCCTGACCAGGAATTGAACCAGTGACCTCTTGGTGTATGGGTTGATGCTCAGCCACTGAGCCACACCAGCTGGGCTCCCTTACCTTCTTGAAATTCTACTCTGCCTCCAATAGTGGCTCAACTGCCATCTCTTAGTCTTCCTCAACCCCTTAGGCAGAATTTCTCCCACTTCCTATAGCACTTTTCTGATGTCTGATAGTAGCTGTCACCTACTTTGTATTAGAATTCTATACCTACTGTATGTACTTGAGGGTATAGACTTTTTAAGTCTAACTCATCTCTGTATTCTTTATCTTGCTCAACACAACAGATGAACATGTGTTTTGTCTACAGGGAGCATTTTATACAGATTGACATTTAATGAGTCTGCTGAACTTTAATTCTGGTTATCTTTTTTACCTAGTCAAAAAAAAAAAAACAAACGTAAAACTTTCTTACTTGGATATGTTTGATTACTTAATTTATTCTATTTTAGTAGTATATCTGCAATTTTTGAACATATTTATTTCTTCTTCCAGTTGTCAAAAGAATGACTCTTGGCAACCTATGAATGAATATGCTTTGTACTAAAGGAAAATTTTCAAGTTGTCCCATAGAAAAGTGAACTGGTTGGCACATGGTTACTCAGATTGCAGAGTAACAACTTCTTGGAAAGATAATTACTGTAACAGGTTTTAAGGAGGGGCCATTTCTTTATAACACAGAAGTTGCAGTTTAAACAGTCAACTTCCTTCTCTCATTTGGTAACTTTGTTTTTCCCCCATTACGTTGATTGTTAAAGAAAAAAAAAAAAAAAGCTTAGAATGTGTTGTGATTTGAAATGTGTTAGGTAATATGTAGAGGACTTTTCCAGCATTATTTCATTTAATCACATTTATAACTGTGATGCTGGTAGTATTATTAAGCTCCTTTACATAGATAATTAGACTGTGCTGGCGATAGTGCCCAAGGTCAAAGAGTAACTGGTGGAACTCAGATTCAAGCCCAGGTCTGTAGCACTTAGAAACCTGTCCTCCTAACTCCTTCCTTGGCTCCCTGGCTGCCTGGAGTCCATTGAAGGGAGGATGGGGGGCTGGAAAAGGCCACTTACCCACCTATCACTCAAGTGTCAGTTCTGATTCTGGTCATAAAGGAACCTTCTCAAAGAAAAATATACTTACAGCTTGGTTTTGCAATATATCAAAAAATTTGCCTTTGAATAAGTACTGCTGATTTAATCACCTTGTGACTCATCAGGGCCTGGGCTGGGCTTAGGTGTAGTCACCATGGATAATGGTTGTGTAATAATTTTTTTCCAATAGCCAGCATCTATGAAGAATGACTAGAATTGTAGTTCCATGCTTGTTTTGGCAGGAAATACTGCCTTGGCCCCAGTTGTCTCATTATTCTTAGAGACCTCATAAGGCTCAGGGACGGATTTCCGCCTTCTTTCTTTCATTTATTTATTCAATACATATTTATTAGGCACCCATTAGGGGCCAGGGACTAATGACCAGTAAATTTGGTCAAAACTAATTTGATTCATAGCTGTAACGAGGCCACGCTTGTGATAACTATAGTTGTGATTCTTCTGTGTAATTTTTCCCTCCACTAAGTTGGTTTGTTTTCTTGCCCATCACATTACACAGATAGCAAGAACACATCCTCTTGCCTCTCACAAGCAGAAGTGTCAAGAGCTTTCAACTTTGAGCTCTTTGAAGGGCAGAATATGGTGTCTTCTTTTCCTCCCCCAAAGGCTAATATAGCATCTGTCTTGTAGTAGGTGTTCATCATGGGAATAAATCACAGTAAAGAGGGGCCTACAGGGCTCAGAGGTGTTGACCAGAACTCCTGGTTTGGAAGACAGGAAGGTAAGCCTTGTAGGGTCTTGGAAAGAGTGAAATTCAGCAACTATAGATGTATTAGATGTATGTATAAGCTATTTGATACAATTTCATTTTGAAGAGAAACATAGTGCCATTTGCTGTGTTTTCTCCTGTGGCTTGTTGGAAGATGCCGTTATGTCTTTTGTGGTGTAATATGTGATGTAACGTATTTTTATTTTCAGTCATTTAAATTTGTGTAGTGTAAAGTCCTAGAAAGGGAATTTACATTCCTGAGAATTGTCTTATCACAGAGTCAAGTCAAATGGAGTGTGGCATAAAAAAGAGTAGGCTAGTGGGAAAATCACATGGAGAGGGAAATGAACGTGCATGTTTATGATTGGACGGCTGAATTAGTTTGAGGATGAGTGAGGCAAGCCTCCAAGGACAGTTACTTGGTAAGGACAGCATTTTGTCTCTCCACTACTCTTCTTGTAAGACAGAGAGGGCATGTGTCGTTTCAGAAAGTTGTTTTGAAAGAACTTTTTATGAAAATGATTTTCCTTCTCA